CTCAGCGGGCCACGGTAAAATTATCAAAGGCTGACTGGTCCGCGGCGATAAAAAGGTTGGGGACCACTGCTCCAAACTACTCAGAATTTTCACTACCGGTTCTCCAGAACTGGTCAGAATCTGCTAAATACTAGCTCTGTACAGGGATGGGTTTCAATTTTTTTCACTACTGGTTCTGTGGGCGTGGCTAGGTGGGGGCATGTGACTGAGTGAACCCACCTCTGCTGTGTACCCAGTAATACCTTCACTATGTTTCTCCATACTTTTTTTTAACCCTTACAAGACTTCCATGCTTCAAACTTGCTTCATATACCTCTTTCCCTTGTTTAAGCTCCTCTCTCACCAGTCTCATGTTTTTATTGGGTCCATATAACCCAGACTTCCTTGTTTCCCCCCTTTTCTTGATACATTCACTCATCCTACATATACTTGTTTTCTAATTCACTCTCTTAACATGACCAAGCCACTTCAATATGTTCATTTCATACATGCCATTCATTTTTTTAGTTTTCTCTTTGATACATTAAATTTCAAACCCATCCTCCTTGTTGCATCATACAACTGTGTAACATTCACTGCAAATCCTTGGGATTCTCAGCCAACACATGTTCACATTTCCGACCAACACACCTCACACATCAGCACTAGCATTCATAATACAAATATGTTTATCCGCAAGTGCATAAACAACCAAGGGTTGGTCAGTCATTTCTTCCTCCACATGCAACGTTGAATAATTTATTAAGCATCCATTTATTCTCTTGCATGTTTTATTTCCATTGTTTTACTGCCATTCCGCAACTGCAACTCTGTTTTTGCATAAAACATTCCATAATTCATACCTTTTCAATTTAGAATGTGATTTCACTAAATGAAAAAATGTGTAGTCCTGTTCTCACGTGGGGATGGGGGAGGGAGACAGGCAGGGGCAGCTGGAGTGTTGCTGATGTCGGTCATAAGAGCAGGCAGTTTTCCAAGCATACGGATTTTGATCATGTGACTGTTGGAGCATTGGTTGTAAGTTTGAAACTAGGTACGTAGTTTTAAGTAGTTTTTCAAGGATCTGTTATAACTTTGACTAGTTGACTAACTAAGTGACTGGTCATAAGTCAAGGACTACCTGTAGCATCTAAATAAATGACTTTTTTAATACTGTTCCTTATGGAGAGAGAAAAACGCTATCGCCAGGTTTAATAAAGCTATAGCAGCCATTTTGGCTATAAATGATAGGAATTCCAGATGAATGCATCAAGTTGGGTAAAAATAAGCAAAGCAATCCCTCAAATAATTTTAAGTAAAGTTTTGAATGAAAAAAATTAAAACTTCTTCCACAAAGATTTATGGTAAGCCTTTTGCCTTCACTATTTTATGCCAGGATGGATATTAAAATGCTGTCAATTAGGTACACCCATTTTTTTAAAAAATTCACATTTTTAATAAAATGCAAACGTTCTTCCTAATTGATTATGTGATTACAGAAGTAGAGTCTCTTGAAATACTTTAATACTATTCAATGCTATCAATTAAGCAAGAAAAAAGAAAAAGACCGGGCAATAAACTGCATGTCGCAGAAGATCTGTGATATTTTGTAATGCAAGCAAAGGTATTGTAACCTAACTGAAGATTTGGCCCTTTCTGTGTCAGATTCCTGGGAAAATTGTTGGGACAGAACCGCCTCTTTCTTGTGCCGCTATTAATCATGACTTGCCTGTCTTGAAATCTCCCATGGTTTCGTTGCAGCTCCAAGGTCACAGGCTGTCATTAGCATTGATCTGAAAAACAGAAATGAACAATAAAAATGGAACAAAGCTTTGTTGGTTTTCTAAACAGATTCATCCTGAATACATGAGGGTTTTTTTTTTTTAAGACGCAGACTTAACACCTTCTTCGCCAATTTAAAGCATGGCACAGTTTGGAATTTGAATAGTCACTGTTTTTATATTATTAGATAGAGAAAAGCGAATGCATTACAGATATAATCAGATAATGACTTTTCAATGCTAACGATTGAGTGTTACAAAAGATGCATGTTTCACTGCAGTCTAGCTACTCATTTTGCTGTTGTACTTTGATTAATTAAGTCATAATATAGGACACTGGGTAGTTGGAATGGCATGATGTGATGAAAGGAAATTATGTCATATATTCAGCTTGGGGTAGTCTGGTTATAACTGGCCCCTGTACTAAGAAAATGATTGTGAGAGACATTCCAGACACTGTTTGAACAGTTTCTATTGTTTATGTGCAATAAATATTCAAGATTATTGTAAGGATTACTCCATCTTAATGTAATTAATACCTGGCTACAGATATGTTTTAAAAGTGTTGAGAGATAAGAATTACTTTGATGGAGAAAGCATTTATGTACAATGCACAAAGTATGTTAAACTATAAGCAAGGCCAGAAGAACAGCAAGAATATGGGGGAGTTTTTAAAAAAGGAAGTGTATTGTCCATATTCTAAAATCAGGAATGGGTGAAATTTGGAAAAATGGAAAATTATTTATACCTCATCTAAAACACAAACACTTAAAGAATAGCTCCTTTCATGAGTAGGTTTCATTCCCCCACAGATGAAAACACCTAGATACTGATGTTTATATATATTCCCAGTCTGAACATATTAACAGAGCTTCNCCCCCACCCCCCAAAAATCCCTGACAGTTACTCACCTGATGCAGAAACATCTATTACGGCTATTTTTTAAAAAATTCATTCTTTGGGTTTTGCTACTTGTGTCATTTACTTGTGCTTCACAATGCTATCCTATGATAAGGTTTTGATTGACTATAATTTGTTACAGGGGCCAGTTGGATTGAAAGGTGAAAAAGGTGACCGAGTAAGTACAGCTTTAAAATAAGTTCACATACATTTTTTAACTCATTAAATGCAGTTTTTTTTTAATTATCTCTGACTAAGGTGAGAAATAAACCAAGTCTTTTTTCTTTCCAAGGGAGACATGGCTTCCCAGGGTATGATGCGAGCTGTCGCAAGACAAGTCTGCGAACAAATGATCAACAGTAAGTGGTTCTTCTATCACATACAGCAAAACCAGAAGTGATATTCAGCCGGTTCAGACCGTCTTCAGTGAGCTGGTTGTTAAAATTCTGCCCAGTTTGGCGAACCAGCTAATTCCAACCACTGACTGGCCCTGCCCCCACCCATTTTTCAGACCCTTTGGGGGCCTTTTTTGGCCATTTTGGGGCAAAAAAGAGCCTGAAAAACGGGGAAGTGGGACCAGCCAGTGTTGGGATTAGTCTGAACTGGTCAGAATTGTTGAATCCCACCTCTGCCTTTGACGTGAGTGGCCGGGAGGCAGGGCTGGGTGTGATGAGGGATGTTGAGTTGGCTACACCCACCCAGTCACATGATCACCCAGCCACGTCTACCCAGCCAGAGAAACGGTTGTTAAATTATTTAAATCCCACCACTGAACAAAACCATATACAAAGTTGTCAGTCCCTAACACACTGTGAACGTTAAACATGTGGGGTATTTGCAGAGTAGCCATGCGATTTATAACAGCCTTCCCTCTAAAGCAGGGGTGTCAAACAGCCTATGGGATCCTTAGATCTGGCCCGTAGCACCACCCTGGAAACAGTGAAGGACAGGCCTGTGATTCCTCTGCCAGCAAAAATGGAGATCGGGCGGACCATTTTCGCTGGCAGAGGGTTGCAGGAGGCTGTCACAGCCAAAAACGGAGCCCGCAAGGGCCTATTTTTGCTGGCAGACTGCTCGGACCACCACAAATGCCCCCAACATGAGTGCTGTTGACCGGCCATGCTCCCCCCCCACAAGTCAAATAAAAGCCTGATGTGGCCCTCAATGAAATTGAGTTTGATACCCTCGCTCTAAAGGGTGTTTTCTTAATGGGAAATTGGAACACAGTTTCTTTTACAAGCGTATGTTAGTTCACAATCCATATAGGAAGTGAAAGAGACAGAGCAAAGTTCTTTCAGTTGTTTATCAGTGGTACTTTCCTTAATTCAGTAGACTGAGCTAAAAGGTCAAGAATGGTATTGCTAGGAGTAAATCTTTTAATATTTAGATTTATACTTGTTGGTTAACATTATGTTGCTATTTGCCCCTTTGAATCAGTGTTGATTCCTGGCAATAGCCTGGATGTATTTTTGCAGTATTCTGGGCAAGATTTTTCAGAAGTGATTTGTTATTGCCTTCTTCTTAGGGTCGAGAGAAGGGACTGACCCAAGGTCACCCAGCTGGCTCTTTGCCTAAGGCAGGAGTAGAACTGGAGAATCTATTCGTTAAAAAACAAAAAACATTTTTTTTAAAACTTCTTAGTATCTCACTGTGAAATTCTTTTGGAATCCTACGGTTTTGTGGAATACCATTGCTAAACCCTGTGCTAACTTATGAAAATTTGCATGTGCTATTTTTGATGTCTTGTTTAATGACGCATTTCCTCTTTTTTCCCCACTCTTCAAGTAATCATCTTAACTGTTCATTATTCACTGGTCATAATCCAGGAGACACTCGTGCTGACAGCATATCTGGGTTACTTCAGGCAGTCACACGTGCTTGGCCATTCATTACCCTAGATTTAAATTTATATATTTCCACTGGTGGATTGGAACTGTAGAGGAGGAGTAAAACATTTGTCAGAGAAATCAATACATAATCACAAGTATCTGAAGAGTGAGTGCAAGCATAATCCATTCCTGATTGAGTTGGAGAAAGGAACCAATATAGGATTATGCATAAGTTTATTGAATGGTTCTTTTTTTTTCAATGGTAAATTGTACTGGTTTTGACTTTGCCATCACCTAGTAGCGATCACTCTAAAAGGATGTTTCATTATTCACCCTTCTTTTCTTTTTCTCTCCCCAAAAGACCAAATGACCCGAATTAACCAGATGCTGAATCAAATTCCAAACGATTACCATTCAACTCGCAACCAGCCTGGACCTTCAGGGCCACCAGGCCCCCCTGGACCTCCTGGGGCCACAGGAGAACCTGGAAATGGAGGCAGGCCAGGATTTCCGGGCGCACCTGGCATGCAAGGATCACCTGGCGAGCGAGGTGGGTTGTCCTTAGGTGTCATGGGGACATTCCCCTGCAGAAGGAACGGGGTCTTAGCTGAACTTTCAGGATCTGGGACAGTGATGGGACGATCAGCAAAACAAAGAGTGTATGTGAAATGCCAGACTATGAAAACTGTTTACGTTCCTCAAAGTGGCATTGAGCAAACAGCCGAAGTAAAAGCAAGTGCTCGGCGTTAGATATTTCCTGAGAAATATCTAACACTGGCACTTTCTGTGACGCTGCTTGAATATATTTTCTTTTTGGTCTGCTTTAGGACTGCCTGGAGAGAAAGGCGAAAGAGGAATTGGAATACAAGGACCAAGAGGTTCGCCAGGGTCACCAGGTGGGTTATAATAGTCATATATACTCTTTAAAATAATGATATGCACTATCACATGTTTGAAATTTTTATTCAGCCTGATGTTGTTCATCCTCCTTAACTCCACACATCAGTTGAAATTACTAAGTAAATGTTTGAGAAATTCCATAGTAGAGGTTGGCTTTTATTTGTAGTACTTCCTTCTCTCCGTGTACAAAGTTGCTGGGCTCTCGCATAGATCATGGTGCTGTCACGGTGGCTACTTTTGCTATTAATATAGTTTGGGTATTTACTTAGGAGCCAAGGTGGCGCAGTGGTTAAATGCAGCACTGCAGGCTACTTCAGCTGACTGCAGTTCAGCAGTTCGGCTGTTCAAATCCCACCAGGCTCAAGGTTGACTCAGCCTTCCATCCTTCCGAGGTGGGTGAAATGAGGACCCAGATTGTTGTTGGGGGCAATATGCTGACTCTGTAAACCGCTTAGAGAGGGCTGAAAGCCCTATGAAGCGGTATATAAGTCTAACTATTGCTACTTAGATTTTGGCAGGTTTAGTTAGATTTTGTCTCATTGCTTCTGTCTTCAATTTACTGTTGAATGTTCATGACTAACTCCACAATAAGCCCACAACAATTTCTACCTTCATTTTACGAAAACTTTACCTTTCTTTTAACCATGAACATAAATTGTTCCAAAGAAAATATTATCTACTATTTTCTAAAGCTACAGAGGAGTAGCAAAATTAAAGTAATCTTAAATTTTAATTGAAATTGACACAGAAGTTGCTTCCCTGTGTAATCCACTAAGCTCAATCAGGCCAGAACAATTTTCTATGACTAAAGATCGTAAAATCAGGGAAACATCTAGTGATGAGTTAAGTTTTGAGTTTCCAGTGGTTGTTTCATTAACACCATACGTAGAAACCAAATGGAAACATTCCTTAACTATGTGCTTTGAGTGTAATCTAGTTTTTAATTTTGCCAACCACTTTACTAAACGGCCTCGCATTGAATTTATTGATACAATACCTTCCTTTTCATTGTACAATTAGGTCCACAAGGAGAATCCAGAATGGGCCCCCCAGGTTCTACAGGTTCCCGAGGCCCACCTGGGCCACCTGGCCGACCTGGGAATGGTGGAATCCGAGGGCCTCCTGGCTCCCCTGGATACTGTGACTCATCCCTGTGCGCTAGCATTGCTTACAATGGTCAAGGATACCCAGGTAGGTTATTGAGAATTTAAATATCATTGAATACTTCAATAAAAGCTTGTTCGGCGTGAATAATTTTATATAGTGAACAGTTGTAATAAAAGTAGAGTTAGTTAGAAATTAAAACTCAACTATAACTCAACTGCTGAACAATGTAAGCTTTCAAATTCAATCAGATTTAGGAATATTTGTTGTGATTCTCGTGTTTATAGAATTTCTCCTGTTTTTGAAGTAGCTTTGTTCCAGTTTGAAGTGTCAGTTTTACTTTAAAGAAAAAGTCATTTATATACTTTAAACTAATTTATTTTTAATGTTTAAAGTGATAGGATAAGGCACATTGCTCTTAGGACATAATTGACCATTTCCCCTTCTTCTTCCTGTTTTCCTTCTCCATCAAACTACTCCTGTACTTCTGAACAAGGTTGACCATTCGTCTAAAGTATAAAGAACAGAGTTTGCCATTTCTGCGTTCATCTTTCTGATTCGTGATGGGATTATCTATACAAAATTAGTACCTGAAATCTAATTTTCCACTTCAAATGTCATTTTGTGATACAGTGCAGACAAGAAGGCAAGGGAGGGCATGGGAAGTCATTATTTGCACTGTTATCAAATTCAATGGAATCTATTATATTGGTCTATTATACAAATTTCTTCTGAGAAGAGTCAGTTTGAGGCAATGAATGGTCAAAGGAACCTAAATGCTGGATATTTGTGACCACAGGATACCAAATTACTAAACTGAGAAGGGTCATAACAAGTGACCATGCCATATATTTAAGGCCTCTTCAAGAAAAGATTCCAGACCCTTAATATTGATCACCAATTTGTTGTGTGCACTGTAGCACCTTATACATGATATTGCTGTTTGTTACGTTGTTTGCATGTATCCGTGAATATATATAGATATATATATATATATATATATNTTGTCTTGTAGGTGGAACCTTTTTATTGCTGTTGAAAATAAGAAGCTCACTATTTAGTGTGTCTTTTGATTCCTGAAAAAGCAAAATTACATTTGAAAAATGCCTATCTGGTTGTTTTGTCTATCTTAAGGATATATAAAAATGGATAAGGCAGTTAGTCTCCATATGTGATCTTCCTACACATACATTTTATATATTGCTAAAAAGACTTAGGAATATATCCTATTTTATACTTGTGTCACCCCCTTTTGTGTAAAAATTTCAAGTAAACAAATGGAAAAGTTAAGGACAACATGGTAATCTCAGGAGGTGGACTCCTCTTTGTGTGCACCAAGCCCAACATTTCCATTGCTAAGCAAGACAGTTATTAAGTGAATGTTGCTCCTCTATGACTTTTCTTGCCATAGTTGTTAAGTGAATCACTGTAATTGTTAAATTAGTAATACGGTTGTTAAGTAAATCTAGCTTCCCTTTTGACTGTTTGTCAGAAAGTCACAAAAGGTGATCACATGACCCTGTGATTCTGCAACTGTCATAAATACATGCCAGTTGCCAAGCATCCAAATCTTGATCACATGACCACGGAGATGCTGTAATGGTCATAAGTGTGAAAAACGGTCATGTCACTTTTCAGTGCAGTTGACACATTGAACGGTCACTCAGTGAATGGTTGTAAGTCAAGGACTACCTGTACAAACAACTTGCTTTCAAATAATTGTTAATGGTCTCACTAATGCCTTATAAAATCAGATTAGAAGATAAAGCAACTTCATTATTTAATTGCTTGTTTTAATATAAAATGTTATCCTGTGGGGTGGAGTTGGGCTAAGGGAGAGACTGACACTTTCTCTTAGGCCAGTGATGGCTAACCTTTTCCGAACCAAGTGCCTAAAACATGAGTGTGCGAAAAGACGCGCACATCCAAACCCCCAAAATGCGATTTGTGTGCAGCCCCCTGCAGGCGCCCCGCACATGCCTCCCTCCACATACATGCGATCCCCCATGGGTCCCTCCCCATGCATGTGCGTGGGGGCGCTGCACGCATCCCACGTCTCGTACATGCAGATGCGCAGCAGAGACCCGAAGACCACCTGGCTGGCGGGAGGCGCAAATGCATGCCAGTAGAGCTGAATTGGGGTGATGGCTCGCGTGCCATTAGTGAGGGTGCTGCGTGCCACCTCTGGCACGTGTGCCGTAGGTTCGCCATCATGGTCTTAGGCAATTCCTGTAGCTGAAGGTGGACCAGAAATTGGGCCTAACTAGTCTTAGTCTAACACCTTAATCACTAAGCTACCCTGGCTCTCATAGGTAGAATATGTCTGGCTCAGGAATTCTGGGAGCTGAACAAGTCATAAAGGGGCCATCATTCCCCACTCCTGCTGTCGGTGTGAGAATAAATAATTAAAATGATAAGTGAATACGAACTTATAGCATTGTGTACCCAATGCTCCAGCTGATATTTAAACACCATTGTTGAGGACTGCAACTCTTTCAGAATTTCATTTATCAAAATTAGAAGGTGCCAATACTTACTCAAAATAGAGAGTGAGGTCTGTGGCCAGTATTGACTTCTTCAGAAGCTGCATAAGATCACTGTAATCCTTGGAGGACAAATTAGCAAATATGTTGTGACCCTATAATGAAAGAGAAAGCAAAGCTAAATAGCTCAGAATCAATAGAAGAATTTTTCCAATAAGTCGGCCTTGTGTCTTACCATTGCAACAAATCATTACAAAAATATTTCATTCAGCTGCTATATTTAAGATGTAATGCTAGTTTTTTTTGCTGGACTGAAAGTATGGCTTAGTAGTAAATAAAAATATTGCCCATCTACTTTTTCTTTTTTTTGCATATAAACTGATGAACAACCTATGGAAATTTCAACTTAAAGAACTTTAGCTTTTTCTTTAAAACTGAAGCTTTATGTTAGTTGTTTTGGTTTTTATTTGTACAGTGTTTTAATCTGTTGTTTGTTATCTGCCCAGAATTGCTATGGTAGGAGGTAGCTGTTTACATAAATCTAAACAGACGTATCTGCACAGTGAGATAAAATACAGATTACTATTAGGCTATCCACCCAATCCTACATATATATCTATGCTCATAAATCTCGGTTTCAGTAAAAGTTATTTTGATATAAATATGCCAAAGATGCGACAACTTCTTTCAAGCCGAGTCCACTTTAGATGTTCTCTTGAAATGTTCTTATTTATTTTTTGGGACTCATATCGAATAGAATTCTTTATTGGCCAAGTGTGATTGGACACACAAGGAATTTATCTCCGGTGCATAAGTTCTCAGCATACATACAAGCCACAAGTGATAATTCATGATTGTAATCATAAAATACAATCATCATATATCATAAGATGCAACACTCAGTGTTAGTCATAGGATACTAAATAATCAATCAACATAAATCATAATAAGATGTGTTTTTCTCTATAAGTTCTGAAATAAATTGTAGGCAATGGCAAATTATCTGGGCCCCATCCAATAATATGCTAACAGAGTCCTATTTATGATGTGATCCTTCTCTGATTTCCCTGGAATTTTCAGTAGTATAATAAACCTTTTCCCTATCATTTCTGTCTACCCAGACACATCCAATTCATTCTAGAAAAGGAATCTATATTAATGTAACTTTGTTCTTATATTTATGATGTAACTTATGAGTTACATCAAAACCTAAATTCAAGAAACAAATTCTTCCTCCAAAATTCATTAAACATACTAATACAAAATTCTATGTATGCATTCAAGTAACAGAGCAATTTCATTGGAGGAAATCTTCCAATCTCATAAATGCAAAACTTTAACAATGTCTTTTTTCCCCCAATTCCAGCAGTTCAACTCATGAACTTTTTTTCAATCACAAGATGAATGCTGTTAAATAATTTAATACTAGAATTAATAGTTACTGTAATTAGGAACAGATAATGCCAGCCTATATTTAGGGATACCAATTATTTATTTATATTTCCCCATGAGAGTGAATATATTACTAAGAGCATTCCAGCTCTAATTGTAGATAAGAAATAAAAACTGTTTTAAGCACATTTATTTATTAAATGTATATGCCACCTATCTGATTCTGCAAAGCGACTCTGGGTGGCTTACTATTAAAATGTATAAAACTCTTTTTGTTTTTTGGAAATATTTTGTTTTGAGAGTAAATATTATGTAAGTCATATCGTTAAACTCGCTGCCATATATGGAATCCAGAATCTGTTTTCTATGTGCTGGCAGAGAAAATACCTTTTTAGATATGTTATAATAAAGCAGCTTTTGACTGTTATCTTTAGAAAAGAAGAGACCAGGTAACCCATGTTTTTTTGTACCTCACTCTGAAGAATCATTACAGCATGGTTGAAATGGTGATGCTCCAGAGTAGCAGATGTCCCATAGAGCTGAGCTAAAGCAGAACCAATTCTGGAAGAAAAAAAACCCCACAACAAATGACATTCTTTCAGCAGATGCCTCTGAGACTGTCAAAATGATAAGAGAAATGCTATCCCAATCTTTCTGTTTTGTAGAACAGACCATCCATCTTTCCAAACTCACTGTTTTCCATCTATACCACCATTCCAGGATGAGAAAGGGGAGGGCTAAAAGAAGGATGATAACAGGGATATGTATTCTGGTTATAGTGTCAGACCTGGAAGCCATAGAGACATATAGATCTCGTCAACATATAAACACAATATGATTGGTGATTCTGAATAATCTTTTCTACACGATCTGATCTTTTTCAGTCACTGGGACATTGGTTTCTACATTGGTAATGGTTTCTGAAATGAACTAGTGAAGTATTATATTTCTTTTTATTTTCTTTAAAATTGTTTAAATTCTGCTTGGAGAAGAAAGGGTCTAAAATGGAGCTGTCATAGGTTTCTGACACATTTTAAAATTAGATATATGTAATTCATGACTGGAATCTGCACATTCACCATATGAGGGCTGGGAGACCTTATAGAAAGATATATTTTGATGCATTTTTGCATCAAAGGTAGTAGAACTGCCTGCCATCCACTCATCCATCCACTCACCTACCTACTTAATTTATATGCTACCCATTTCTCCAATAAGGTAGGCTACGAACTATATAATTAATAACTCATAGCCTGATTTATGTAAACCCAAATTTTATGCTTTGTATTTCTGAAAAGAAATACGTTTTCAGCATTCTTTAATCTTTGTGAAAACCAGGTTAATATTGTTTGCCAAGTAATCAACATATATGACAAACCTCAGGCAAGACAAAACAACTATTGTTAATAGCTTCCAATTCTGATAAATCAACAATTAAACAGAAACCATGCAGCATCTGAGAAAGAGTGGATTTAAAATCAATTAACTGCTGTCTGTTTTCCACTTGTTATTTTAAAAATATGAACAATTTATTATATAATTTATAACCTATGTAAAAACTGGAATGGAAGCTGTAGAAGGAAAATATAATTTAGTCAAATGTTCAAGATAAGTTACATTTGGAGGTGCAAGTTTCATTTAAAAAAATGAGATGACTAAATATACATGCATGTGCTGTTAATGCTTCAGTTTAAGTTTTATATGCTTTCAAAGCAAATCCCTGTTTAATATCTGCATAGCTGTGTAACTAACCACACATCTACACAAACATATATTGTAGAACATTTAAAACGCTAGATTTCATTCTTCAAGGAAAGTATGAATTATAATTACAAAACTGGTAATTGTTAGAAGGTGGAGTACACCAGGAGTAAACCATCACAAGAGATTAACACATATTGCTATTTCACTACACTCTAAAGTGACAGATGAGATTTGGTGTTATTGGGGTGAGTGGGGAGTATGCTTATGTATATATGCATAGTTGAAGAAATTGGTTTAAGAGATTCTGGCTTGGAATTAAAAGAATTCTCTTAGGATATTATATTGCAAAGCTACCCTACCCAGGTATTTAATCATCATGGGGCAGCTATAATGAGAGGAAAGAGAAGAAAATTACCAAGAACGGTGTCCCCCAGAGGAAACAGCAATGAAGTGGATTAACATCCTGTGATACTGTTTTCAATCACACTCCTCCTAATCTTTCATTATGCTGAACACTCCCCACCCAAGTTAGGAAAGAAATGGGAAAGGTGAGGCATAAATTTACAGTCTTTGCAACCGATGTGACCACAAATCACAACATGTCAGGATAATAACAGCTGTGATCATTACACTTAACACACTATGTCACCAGGTGCCTATAACCTTTCACTTATTTCTTTAACATTACAAAAAGACCATGTTCTCCCTGCATGAACTCACAGAACTCGGTACAAGTGGCAGGTATAGACTGATGATTTACCAGTAAATAATGCTTTTTATAAAAACAAAATAATAATCTAAAAATAATCCCTCAATTAAATGGGTTGCATTTTGATTAACACCTGTTTTATGAAATATTGCTGTTTTTAAAATGTTTGAATCTTGCCAAGACTCAAATCTCATGTAATTCTGCTGTGCACCTGGTTTCAGATTTGAACCTAAAGGCTTGCTGTACACGGAGATTTTGACTTTCTTGTCAATGTCTCAATGTGCTAGATTTTTCTATTCCTGCAAGAGAGTTCACCATTTTAAAATTTTATTTATCTGACATAAACACTATTATTCAAGACCGTACAAAAGCATCCACTGTCAGAAAAATCTCAAATGGTATAAATTCAAACAGGAACATAAAGCCGCCTCAGGAGGCATCCACTGTTAAGCCTCATAAAAACTTGCATTTTACTACTAAGTTAATGCAGCAGCCTGCCAGAGTGAACTCCGCTATACCAGTAGTTCTTCCATCTTCTACTCGCTGCCAGAATTGATCTTGAGTAAACCTAGCTCACCTCATACATTTGGCATTATAGAGAAGTATTCAAATGAAATATTAGTCTTTCGATATAGGGATGGAATAAGAAATCTGTAAAATAAGTAATCTATTTTACATTTCAACAGCCAAAAGCTTATTTCTTCTAATTTCCATAAAACCTTCATTTCATATCTCGTCCTTGTTAGTGGCTATGGAGATTCTCAGTCACCCAAGTCATGGTTGTCACAAAAGTACTTTTTCAAAAGGCAACTGGACTTTGTTTTTCTTGTTAGTATACAGCAGTGGTGGGATTCAAATAATTTAACATCCGGTTCTCTGCCCTAATGACCAGCTGGGTAGGCGTGGCTCGGTGGCCATGTGACCGGGTGGGCGTGGCCAACTCAACGTCACTTAGATCGATGGGCGCTTCCCCTTAGCTGTGAAAATGTAATAAGGGTTAAATGGAGAGGCAGTTTCTGTAAGCAGGGCAATAAAGATGAGGCTAGAAACAACGCCAGAATGTTTCCTTCCTGCCTTTCTTACAGGATTAGCCCTGCAAAGTAGAATAAACACAAAATGAGATTTCTTCCAACAACCAGTTCTCCTAACTGCTTAGAAAGTTAACAACCGGTTCTCCTGGATAGGTGCGAACTGGCTGAATCCCACCACTGGTATACAGCTATAAACGTTTTTTTATAATGCATTCATTTTGAATGCTAATTTTTAAGCCTACAATGTATTTGATAATTTCAAAGCTCCATGCAACTGAAATGATGATTGTTTGATCCAGTAGTTATTCCTGCTCAGTTTAAACTGCAGGCCAAAGTCACATTCTTCAAAACACGTTTGCATACTAATATTATGCTTCCTCTCTTTTTAATTAGCCACTGAAACCATTAACGGTCCTCAATAGCCCTAGGCTTTTATACTACCTTGGTAACTTTTTCACCATTAATCAGATTTGGTTACTGCAGAAAAACACAGCAACAGTCCCACAGAAGAGAAAGAGATAAAAAGAAGACAGTAAGAGAGAGTGTTAGACTTTGGAGTTATCTAGCTTTTCTGTTTCCTCTTGCATCAGGGGATTTTTTTTATCAATGGCTCTTAAAATTCCTTACTATGATAGACGATTTCTATCAAAAGGTGTAACAAAGAATTCTTCATTGGCTTCTCCTATACACAGCTTCTGTAAATTGTGCAGGGAAAAAAATTCTCCTAACATTAAGCACCCACTCAATACAAAATGTTTGCCCTTGCAGAAATTTTAAAAATTAACATAATTTGCTCACATGTGTGTGTGTGTGTGTGCGCGCGCACACACACACACACACACACAGAGCAATAGTGATACAGCTATTGTACTATACAGCTGAACCCAGAGCCATTGCTTTGAGAAAGAGCATATTTTCATTCATAGCAAGGCTTTGCAGAGACCATGGCAAATTGCAAGTAAATGAGTGACAGAGGTCAGAGTACAGAATATAGCATAACAGAGTTAGAAAGGACCTTGGAGGTCTTCTAGTCCAACCCCCTGCCCAAGCAGGAAACCTATGCCATTCCAGTCCAATCTCTTCTTAAAAACCTCCAGGGATGGAGCACCTACAATTTCAAAAGGCAAGCCATTCCACTGATTAATTGTTCTAACTGTTAGAAAATTTCTCCTTAGTTCTACATTGGATCTCTCTTTGATAAGTTTCCATCCATTACTTCCTGCCCTGCCCTCAGGTGCTCTGAAGAATTGGTTATCTCCTTCTTTTTTGTGACAGCCTCTCAAATATTGGAATATATAATGGGAAATATAACGGTGCGCTGCCAGAGGCAGTAACAAACTCACCCAAGTCAATCCACTACCTGATGGTTGCTTTATCCAACCATCCTTGTTGCTATTACAGTTTCATCCGTGTTGCTATTACAGTTTCATAGACAGCAATCACCTTTGCTCTACTTAAGCTTTTGTGCAGAACAGTGAAATATGAGTATAATCCCTCATATGGGCGGGATTAAACCAAACTACAACACATACCATCACGCTATGCTGGATAACTAAAATGCTTCCCAAAATGAAGATATAATCAAGTCCCCCCATTTCACATCATCTTGAATAGTAAGATTTTTAAATATATATTTATTTTGCACTTAGTGTTGCTGGAGCTGTTATAATACAGAATTGTATTAAAGATTCATATTTCCTTAATGCCTTGTACTGTGCTAACAGTGCAGGCCTAATTGGTTTTTCTGAAATCTATTGCCTAGCAACTAAGTAAGTAAGTGTGTCTGTGTGTGTGTACTGGAAATAGAATTTCTCCTTTAGAGTGCTGTACAGGTAGTCCTCAAGTTACAACAATTCACTTAGTGACCATTGGCTGAAAAATTAAAAGGAAAATAAGTTTAGAGAAGGTATGGCTCCAATTGCCTGAATGGGAGCAGTTACCATGCAATGAATATGTGTCCCATTTACACTCAAAACAATAAACAATATCTATATTAGGTAAAGGTAAAGATTCCCCTCGCACATGGGTGCTAGTCGTTCCGATTCGGACTCCGCTCCGCTCATCTCAGTTTCTAAGCCAAAGAACCAGCGCTGTCCGAAGACTTCTCTGTGGTCATGTGGCCAGCATGACTAAATGCCAAAGGACGCATGGAACGCTACTACCTTCCCACCAAAGGTGGTTCCTATTTTTCCACTTGCATTTTTAGATTCTTTTGACCTGCTAGGTTGGCAGAAGCTGGGACAAGTAACTCTGTTACGCGGTGCAAGGGATTCTAACCGCCGAACTGCCGACCTAAGACAAGCTCAGCGTCTTAGCCACTGAGCCTCCGCATCCCATATCTATATTGGGAAACCCAACATATTGTGTCGGCATAACAATACGCTAGGAACAAAATAACTTATGCATAAACAGAATATTTGTTTATAACAGAGGTGCAAACAAAACAAATAAAATTAAGAATCTCCTACAAAGGAAATTCAGCTTCCCAAAAGCAATGCCCATGTTCTGTTGCCAAGTACATTTTACAATGTACATTCATCTATTTGTGTGTTTTACGCTTATACTAAATCAAAGTACTTCATTTTTCCTTCCCATCTGGTGAAGAATGTTATTACCTGTCCAAAGCCTAATCCCAGAAGTAGCAGTATCTTTTATCTCAGACGAGGTCTCTCAGAATCGTAAAATTGAAATATATTCTGTATATAATCTGAAACTGTTAAAGAATCTGACCACAATCCTATACTCTCCCTGTAAAGACTTTGGTCCTTTGGTACAAAATCCCAAACCATTAAATGCCTATGGAGGTTCTCAGGGACAGACAGCCTTCGAATGGTTCTGGAGTGTGAATGGATTTCCAGAAAAATTGCAGACTACAGAAACCATTTGCGCTTCAGTTTGACTTGCAGACAACACAGATTCAGCCCCAAAAGCTTGCACCAATCTTTTTTTTTTAATTTTTAATTTTATCAATTTCATATATACATTCACAATTATATGATCTCATAACTGTTATTAATATGTACTTATAACAATTTTTTCCTTACAGTTGACAATCTACTTGAAATTGCTTTCTTACCATCCCATAAATCCATCTTATCTTACAACGGTCCTACTTCTTCTTCCCTCCCTCCCTCTTTCCTTCCCTCATTTCTTCTCTCCTACTCTCCTTCCTTCCCTCCTTCCTTCCCTCCCTCCTTCCCCCTTCCCTCCCTCCTTTCTTCTCTCCTTCTCTCCTTCCTTCCCTCCTTCCTTCCCTCCTCTCTTCCCTCCCTCTCTCTTTCCTTTCCCCCTTCCTTTCCTCCTTCCTTCCCCCCTTCCTTCTCTCCTACATTCCCTCCTTCCTTCCCTCCTTTTCTTCTCCCCTTCCTTCCCTCCTTCCTTCCCTCCTTTCTTCTCTCCTTCCTTCTCTCCTTCCTTCCCTCCTTCCTTCCCTCCTTGCTTCCCAATCTTCACCAATCTTCACCAGTGCAGAAAACATCCTGCAGCCAAGAAGGCTCCATACCCACTTGCACTACTCAGGTGACCCTTGGGACACAATTAAAGTTCCAAGTAGCCTCAATGACTCTGAAAGAATGCAAATGACCAGCTGTCTGCAAGGAATATAAATCCTGCCATTCTCCGCTCTCCAGTCAGAGCTGAAGAAGCTTCTTGGATGAGAAGCGAAATGTCTTCAAAGAAAAAACAAGGAAGTCCAGTTGCCTCCTGGAAAACCACCTTTGGGGCACAGACCATTAGTGCATTGATTGAGGGGACACGTTAATCCAGAAAAGTGGAAAGTAGATGGTCATTTGACATAGACTATTGTGAAGGAACTGTCTGTGTAGAATCTAAGTAGAACCAAAGTACAAAATTACTTTAGGTATAAGCTCTTACTTTCATGTGGGCAATAACAAATTAGGCAGAACTCTGCAGATTCCCTTGCAAAGTCCATCTTGTTGTATTACAAGCCAATTGTCCTATAAGAAGCCCTCCTATAAAGTACACTATGACCACTAGCCTCTAAGGAGCATGTGGGTAGTTGGGAGAGATTGCCTATTATGAAGCTGAGTAGTGTGTGAGTAATTATAATCCAACTCATCAACCAGTCAGAGTTTAACATGTTATAAAAACCTAGGACTCTAGCAAAAAGTTGTCAATGTGTCATGCACAAATCACGAAATTCTGTGAGACTCTGCCTGTCTTCATGAAACAAGGCACCATTTATGTAAAAAGTTTATTTTGTTTTCAATACAAATGCTTGCTGTTTCCAAAATACTTCCTACTATTTCATAGGATAATGGCCCATATTTTATGCTTTCTGTTCTGTCTTCTATTCTATTCCAATTTAAACTAAAATGTTGCCTAATTTAATGTTATGTTAATGGATTATTCATTTGTAGCTTAGGTCATGATAAAAGAAAATAATTTGGAAGGAATTAAGTTTTCTTTTTACAAAATGGAGAGAAAGAAATGCAATTTTATTACACATATCTTGAAATCAACATTCCTAAATTCTAAAATATTAATTTTCAAAACAAGACAAATAATAGTGGAAACATACTTAGCTTGAAATGCATTGTTTGTTCCTCTGTGATCAAGATCATGGCATAAACATCCAACAATCAAAGCTAAAATTTCTATTTCTGTCAGGATCTCCTGAAATTCTGCTGTCTGAAAATAGAAAAAAAATATTGGTAACATCAGCAAATGCAGTCATTTTTAAGCTGTCGTTAGAAATCAGATAAATCAGGGGTGCCAAACTAGCAGCCCACCTGCTGGATACATCACATGCAGGCCACGCCCAGCCCAGCTCCGAGAAGAGGAAAATGTTGCAAAACATCATGAGACGGCAACGTGACGCCACGAGTTTGACACCCCTGAGATAAATGAATGTTGGAGGAAGGACCAAGATGTATCAGCAGTTACGTTTGATAGTCAGGATGAGCTAGTGGTTAAACTGAGATCACCTTAAATCCTGGGATGATTTGGGTCATTCACTCTCAGCCAATCTATCTCACAATGTTGCTGCTGAAGGAAAAAAGGGAGGTAGGAATGCTGGTTACCTCCCTTAAACTCCTGAAGGAAAAGCATGATATATACCATAGGTAGTCCTCGACTTACAACAATTCATTTAGCAACTGTTTGTGATTACAACAGCACTGTTAAAAAAAGTGTCTTGTGACCTTTTTCATACTTACAACCAAACCCTGCAGCATCCCCATGGTCACATAATCAAAATTTGGGCACATGGCAACTGGCATATATTTATAACAGTTGTACTTACTGTCCCAGGGTTATGAGATCACCATTTCCAACCATCCCATCCTGCTTGCGACAAGAAAAGATGGGGGATGGGGCTAAATTCACTTAATGACTGAATGGTTCACTTAACCACCGCAATGATTTACTTAACAATTGTGGCAAAAAGGTAATAAAATGGGGCAAAATTCTTTCAACTGCTTGAATGGCTCGGCAGTGGCAATTTTGGGCTCAGTTGTGGTGGTTGAGTCAAGGACTATCAGTACATTTAGCAAATAGCTAAAGGGTTGTTCATAATTCCAATGCCCTCCATATGGAGTAAAGCAGTAACCTCTCACTTTTCACTGGATCAGCGAGAATTAACTCATAGGTGGAAAAAAGCTCAGAAGTGCACAGTTGCAGCATTGCTAAATGGTAATCTTACAAATGCCTTCGTTCTATTGATATCCTGCTATTTTGAGGATTTAAAAAGGAAGCTTATTGGCCAAGCTGGACTATAACTAATTGGTTTCACCTGAGTGAATCATTGAGCAGGATGCTTTTCAGCTAGTAAGGTATCCAATAAAAACAACTGATCACAGAGTATTTATGTTTTTGCTTTTGTTGTGAGCCGCCCAGAGTCCCTAGGGAGTGGGCAGCATACAAGTCTTATTAAAATTGCAAAGTTATTAAAGTATTCCCTAAATCATCTTTCTCTGCACAGGTGTACTTCAGGTATGTCTGAATAAATCTCATCCCTCGCTGGGATGTGAACATGACAGAAAAGAGCTTTTTTTTTTAATGTGCAGTAAGAGCTTCAGTTTGCCTTGCAAGGTGATTGTTCTCAGTTTTTCATACTTTATTATTCATTTAACACACTACACAGGTAATCCTTGACTTACAACCATTCTAATGACTGCTTGAAGTTACAACGGCACTGAAAAAGCGGATTATTGAAGTTGCAGACTCCCCGTGGTCACGTGATCAAAGTTCAGATGTTCGGCATCTGGCTCATGTTTACGGTTGCTGTGTCATCTGATCACCTATTGAGACTTTCTGACAAGCAAAGTCTACGGGGAAGCCAAATTTACTTAACAACTGTGTTGCTGACTCAACAGCTGCAGTGATTCACTTAACAACTGTGGCAAGAAAAGTCATAAAATGAAGCAAAACCCACTTAACTGTCTCACTTACCAACAGAAATGATGGGCTCAATTGTGGTCGAAAATCGAGGACTACCTGGACTTCTTTTCAATAGTACTGAATAATAGCCTATGCTGCGTACTAACATCACATATTCATACTATGCCATATCAATTTTTGTGGGGGCTGGGATTCCAGGAAACTAGAGATTAGAATATTAGAGTCTTGAGTATTGGAGGTGAAAAAGAGATACATTCCAGTTCAAAGACCCCTCAGTAGGAAACATACTGTACTATACAGGGAGTCCTCAACTTACAATGGTTCATTCAAAGTTACAAGCACTGGGGGAGGAGTCAATGTGTGGTCTCAATGCTCTGAGATCACAGCCAACACTTGCCGCTGGGTGGTCCAAACGGACCTAAACCGTCCCAAAGAGATGGTGAACAGGAAGAATATGTCTTGCTGATTTCGGGTATATCGCAAATTCCCTGAAAGAAGCAAGAGAA